ACAGAAATCATGATCTTTTTAGGGCAAGACTTTTTACATTCCTTGGCAATGCAGCTCCTAAGTTGGTAAACACACAATTACTGTTTGTAAATATGTTACTGACAGATGCTCTTCCTGATGATGAACCTGTCCTGGAAAAAGAAAATAGGAGTTAGAGTCTGGGATGTCTTCTGCCACTGGTCTGTAATGTTACATGGTGCTTTGGTTCTCTGCTTGGAAAGTGGGAGAGATATTTAAGATCTTTGTACTAACAGTGTCTGTGGGGATGAGAGCAATTGAAAGGAATGTTGGGGGTGCTGTTTGACAGCTGTCTGAATGTGAGCCAGCAGTGTGCCCAGGTGGCCAAGAAGTCCAATGGCATCCTGGCTTTTATCAGAAAAAGTATAGCCAGCAGGACCAGGGAAGTGACTGTCCCTCTGTACTCAGCACTGATGAGGCCACACCTCGAATCCTGTGTTCAGTTTTGGGCCCCTCACTACAAGAAGGACATTGAGGTGCAGGAGTGTGTCCAGAGAAGGGCAACGGAGCTGGTGAAGCGTCTGGAGCACAAGTCTGGTGAGGATCAGCTGAGAGAGCTGGGGGTGTTTAACTTGGAGAAAAGGAGGCTCAGGGGAGACCTTATTGCTCTCTACAACCACCTGAAAGGAGGTTGTAACAAAGTGGGGGTTGGTCTCTTCTCCCAAGTAACAAGGATGAGAGGAAATGGCCTCAAGTTTTTTCAGGGGAAGTTTAGATTGGGTATTAGGAAAAATTTATTCACCAAAATGATTGACAAGCACAGGAACAGGCTGCACAGGGAAGTGGAGTCACCATCCCAGGAGGTATTCAAAAGGTATATATGTGGCATTTGGGGACATGGTTTAGTGGTGGACTTGGCAATGCTGGGTTAACTGTTAGACTTGATGATCTTAAAGATCTTGATCAACCGAAATGATTTCATAATTCTGTGGAATCTCCTCCCAAAAACGCTCACTTCCCCAGCTTCTTCACCCCAAATCTGACCTGCCCAGGCATTCAGGAGGACTTAAAGTGTTACAGGATCTTTCCAATTTGCAACCATTTCTGTGTTTGGTATAAACCTTTTTTAACTTTTTGCAAATGATCCTGATGTTCTTGGATGAACCCAATTGCATTGGTTTAGCTCACTATAATTAATAAGAGGATACTGTGTTTACTATGCCTTTGGATATTCTGTTGGCTGGGACAGGAGGTGCAGCACCACATAGGAGCACTTGTTCATCCTCATGCAGTCTGATCCCTAGAGGGAAGTACCCAATCCATGCAGTAAGATTGCTGATTCCATAAGTAGGCTGGGCAAATGTTGTAAAATATTTTAATGACATCTTCTACATATATTGTATCAAATACAACTTATCATCAGACCAAAGCTAGGCAGATAGAAATATAGTATACTTTGGGTTCGAAGGGATCTTAGAAGGTGATCTAGGTCTAGGTGTCCCCTGCAGTGAGCAGGGACATCTTCAACTAGATCAGGTTGCTCAGAGCTCCATTCAACCTGACCTTGAGTGTTTCTAGGGATGGGGCATCTACCACCTCTCTGGACCATCTGTTCTGGTGTTTTACCACTCTCATTGTAAAAAATTTCTTACTTATATCCATCCTAAATCTACCCTCTTGTAGTTTAAAACCATTACCCCCTTGTCCTATTGCAACAGGACCTGCTAATCTTTCTCATAGTTCCCTTTAGGTACTGGAAGGCCACAATAAGATCTGCCCAAAGCCTTCTCTTCTCCAGGCTGAACAGTCCCATCTCCCTCAGCCTGTCTTCACAGGGTGAGGGGCTCCAGCCCTTTGATAATTTCTGTGACCCTCCTCTGGACCCACTCCAACAGATAATGGGGCTTTATTTTTAGCTTACATTGAATTAAAAAAATGGCTTTCTGTTTGGGGAGTGGTGGGAAATGAAATATTCTGAAAACAACTAGTGAGCCATCTGGCAGTAGAAAGTGGGGCTGAATTAAACAAAATGTTTTCTTCTTTCTGAGATCAGAAATAATATTTTCTTTAACAATTGAAGGATTCCATTGTAGTAGAAAACTTGCATTATTTTTGTTTGGAAGTGGTTAAGTAATTTTTATATTTAATCTCTTCTTCTAAGCGGGCAGTCTGGGAAATTAATACAGATTTTTGAACTGCATTAATATGAGAGAATCTGCACACTTTTCCCTTGAAATATGATTTATGTGAAAAATTTCACTCTGTATTAGAGTGTGTGCATTCAAATTAACTGAGATCAGCTAACATGTTCTAGACATGAGAAATCTTCTTAATGTATTTTAGCATTATGGCTATTGGAATATTCTAATGTTGCCTTATATCAGTGTAGTCTGGGGCGCAGTTACATACATAGGCTTGCAGAGCAATACTGAGTTTGATAGTGACATTGGGAATGGTTGGCTGTGAGTTCAATCAGCTTCAAAATTGGAAAATAAAATATTTTGACTTGGTGAAGCATCTTTGTGTTTTCTGTAGTGGTTCTGCAAGAGGCATTGCCTTGATGGGTGGGCTTTGTGGCAGGAAAGCAGATCCCTGTGCCATAGCATGGAGAGTGCATACAAAAACAGACGGAGTGTGTGGAGAAGCGGTGTCTGCTGCTCCAGAGAAGGCAGCTGCTGGGGCACAGCAGGAGTCTTCACTCATCACTGGTGGTCTGGTATCTGTTGTGTCTCTGGAGCGCCTGTTAAAGATATCTTGTTAACGCCAGTGTGGGCCTGATTTAGCCACAGGTATCACTAGCTGTTATGGTTTTGGATAGATATTTAATACTTGTTGTGACCTTCATCTGACATATTTCAGCAAAAAAGACTTCAAGCAGACTTCAGATTTGGCAGCAAATCTTTTTACTGTGTGCAGTCATGGACATCTCATTCCAAATATCACTTACTTACACAGAAGTCTCTCCAGAGCAAAATTAGACGCACATTTTCTTAAATACATGGCTAAGAGCTTTCCTGATTTACAGGTTATGTGAATGCAGCAGAATGTGTGAATGTGTGGGTCTTACTGCTACAAATTTCTTTTTCTTTTTTTCTTTTTTCTTTTTTTTTTTTTTTAATTAAGAATTTCTCGCCCTCCTCTGGCTCAGACCAGTAACTGTATCTTGCCTAATTAAGGTGGGTGTCTAGGTAGGTGCCTAGGAGCAAATAGCCAGGGGCAACATGTGGCCTCTATTGCAGTGCCTTCATTCAGGTGCTCTTCAAATGAAAACATTGTAAATCACCACCTCCAAGCTGGACCTTAGTCAGTCTGAGTATGGAAAAACAAAACAGAAAGCCAGAAGTGCCTCCACTCTCAGTTCTGATAATGATCCCTTTCAGGTCAGCGAAAAAAATTCGCTTTCAATTACGTGTTTGTGATTGAAGAATTTGAAAACAGTTACCAAGAGCTAGAAGATAAATTTCACAATTTGATACAGCTCATTTGATACAGCTGTTGTAAAGTAATGAGTGTTAAGGTGAGTGCATAACCTTTATGCCATGTTTGCTTGGGATTATCATGTGAGGAAGGGTAAAGGTAACTTTATCAGTGTCTTTTGTGATTAATAACATTAAACAGAAAGATAAGCATACACAGAGGTGTGTGACTGATGTTTAAGAGACTTCAGACATTTGGAAATAATTCATGAGAACATGGGAAAAGATGTCATGTTTTAAGTGCCCAGGTGCTAAAGATGCAGGCAGGAGGGTGAGCACTGAACATGAAGTCTCCTGGAGTGTCATGTAGGGGAATGTAGCGTGAACAACCCACACAGAGGTGAGAGAATGAACTCTAGCACCTTGTAACACTGCAGGAGGAGGCTGGCAAAGGGAAGCTGCTCAGGGCTCTTTTCCATCGGTCCTTCGAGCTGTTATTTTTAAGGCAACACTAACTGAATCCCCCCTGTTCCAGGAGACCATGGTGTGGGCTCCTGTTGGCTGCAGCAGGGGCAGTGCTGGAACCTTGAAGAGGTTTCCCCAGCAGACCTCTTTGCAGTGGCAAGCTTGTCGTGTCTTTGTGATTCTCACATGTCAGCAGCAAAGGCCTCATGACTTAATACCCAAAGGATGTGTTTGAGGTGCTGGCTATAGACCTTTCTATCCCTATATCCAATTGTCCTCTCTGCTCCTGCACCCTCACACTTGTCCCCGCCTCATTCTCCCTGCTCAAGAGAGAAAAGAATCACCTGAGTACTCCTCAGGGAGGAGGTTCAAAGGTGTAGGCTCATGCCTGCAGACCCAGGACAGGTAGAGCCTGCTTTCTAGTAGAGGCCAAGTTAAAAAAAAAAATCACAATAACAGTTGTGATCCCATGGTTCCCAGAGCTGGAGTAGGGGAGGAAGTTAAGTAACAGTATTAGAATATGCACAGTGGTAAATAGGGCAAGTTAGGGAATAGGTAGATTTAGTGTAAGCAACAGAGAGGCCCAGAAGAAGACTCATGGATGAAAGAGAAGACAGCAGCCATTTGCTCCACAGTTAATGCAAATGCTAGAATAGCTCTGTTTCAACAACTCCACCTATTCAATGCATTGCACTTGGCTTCATTACCCTGTTAAAAAAGTCTGACTGCTGCTTTGGCTGACAGCCATTCAGGTATTCCTGCAGGACAGCTCATGAATCTGCTTGCACCTCCCGATTTCCCAGGTAAAATGGATGACATAGAGCGTGGGGGAAGAGGGATAGATAATATACTGACTTTTGTACTGCTTTATATCCCTTTAAAAGTGTTAACTAAGTGATTCTAACAGTTGTCTGAATTAGCATGATCATCTTTGTTTTAGCAAAAGGCAGGGAAATCTAGAGAACTATGTCTATGCATTGGGCTGCTTGACAACATGAAGACAATCAAAGCAACACATTGGAAAAGCTCAGAATCTATTTTTGCAAAACATTCTTTTTCTTTTTTTCCCCCTATTTCTCAATTTCTCCATTTCTTTACATTCAAAAGAAGTTTGTTATACCTATATTGATGCCACTTACTAGCAAATAATCAGGCAGTTGTCATGCTGCTAAGGTAGCTTGAAATCTCGCAATATTTTTATTGTTCTTCAAACAAGGAAAACTCTGCTGCAGAAAGTGCATTGAAAAACAGGAAGAAGAATTTATTTAATAACTTTTACAGTTTTGTGGGAGAAATCAGACAGATTTTGGGAATGTTTTGGACAGTTTTGGTCAGTTCTAGGGAGAGAGCATCCCTTTCATTTGTGGATATCTGGTCTCTTGACAACTACAAATAGACCACATTCTTTAAGACCTGTCTGTCCAGCATCCATTCTGCAGGTAGGTCACAGCATATGTAGAAAACTAAAGGTAGGATAGAACTACTTTTGTTTCCTTTAATGCAATTTAGCAGCTGAAAAGTGTCAGTTTCCCCTTCAGAGACTCAGGCATCATATCACAGATGCCATCTGGGAACTAAGGAATGGTTTTGTTACCAGCTGAAATTGGTTCAGACCTCTTGGAGAACTGCTAAGCTGTGCAGAAGCACTGAGAGATCTTCTGCAGAGCAGAGCCATAAGGAGAAAGGTAAGATGCCTGGTAAAGGGCAGTGTTGACACAGGGATAATTAGCAGCTCAAGGGTTCTTAACAAGAAAAAACAATATGAAAAGCATGTGAAATCCTACAGAAACAAAACCAACTAGCCCAAGAATGGCAGTTGAGCAATGTCAACAATCAGCCCTTTCCAAGTGGCCACAAAAGCCAACTCGTCTCCTCTAGAATTGAAAGTAAACTCGGCCAGCCAGGGCTCCTCGGGTGCCTTATCAGGGGTGGTGAGTACTTTAACTTGTTAGCTCTGCCTACACGCTTTGTATGTTGACCAATAAATCAAAAGTTTAACCTTTTTAAGCTGTGAAATCCATTTTGCAGAGGCTTGGTAAGTAACGAAAGCTACCCAAAGGAACTGATCTAGAGCAGAAAGGCTAGAAAACAAGGGAGAACTATTCAGTATAGGTAGCACCTCCTCCTCTATCACCCTTTGAAAGTCATTGCCTTAAGAACCAAAGGAGGAACTAGAAGCTTTCCATTCCAAAGCATGGAAACAGCTTTAAATTTATATTAATCCTTTATTGCAAATTACTGAAAAAGGTGACTTTTGAGTTTCTGTGTCTCCTTGTAGCCTTTGCATACCCAGCCAGCAAAGGGTGTGAGCTAATTGTTAAATTCAGTTCAACAAGTTCCTCATTAGGGGGAAATTACCTGAGTTTGAAATCTGCTAATTTTCCAATCAGGGTGAGTGTTTGCACTTGTGATTTGGAAATAATTAACACATGGTATAACATCAAAACCTATGTAAAGGCTAATGGTAGAAGGACTAATTTCCTTGGCATGAAGGTGGCATGCTTGGTTTCCCCAGAGGTCTATTACTATCCTTTCAGTATTGGTATCTGCTATGTAGGGCCTTCTAGTATTTTTTAGATTGATTCTCTGCAGAGTTGTACTTTTTAATGTTAGTTTTGAAAAAATGAACCATTATCTTCCAGGACTATGAAGAATTTTTTTTTTTATTTTGAAATTGCTGCATTTCTTTCTTCTTCCTGTCAGTGTAGACTTTCCCAGAATTACTGGTTTCTATTATCCATAAAAGGAGGCCATAAATAGGTTAGGGCTTTAGCCTGAGTTCTGCAAGCTTTAAAATGTATGTTTTGATCCTTCAGAGCATTCCTAGGAATGTGAATGCCTGCAGTATTTAGAAAGAAAGGATGTGCAGGTAGAAAATTGATTAGGAAACCAGGTGTGTACATGGGAGAAACAAATGTAGTTGGAAAACACAACAGAATTTTCTACCTTAGTTTCAGCTATTGATATAATCCTGATCATCACCACCTCTATGTGTTATTGGATAACATTAACTGGTCTAAAGCAGATATTTTTTCTGGTAAATGATGCTACCCTCATAGCTTAGAGCATGGCACTAGTACAGCTCGGTGCATTAGTGCCCTGTCACCATGAAGCTTGTGAGGGAGAGGATCAGATTTAATCTCTGGGAGCCGACTCCACCCAAGGGTGTCATTAGTCCTGCCGCTGTGAGTGCACTGTGGCTATTGACAAGGAGGGTGTGACTTGACAGCTCCAGACAAGGAGAAGAGCCCGCTCCTCGTGAGCAGGCAGTCTGGGAGTGGTCCAGTTTCTGCCATGGGAGCAGTGACACAGACTGTAGTAAGTAAGCTCTGCTTGTCCACAAATGGCACTTGGGGCTTTTCTTTGCCTTTTGTCACGGCCTTGCCTTCAAACCCCTGAGACCTCCAGGCAGCACCTCCCACAAAAAAGCAAGGCAGCCAGGGGAGGGAAGCTTTAAATGGCATCTCATCTACCAAAGCTTTGTCAAGCAGCATCCTTCAGGCAGAAAGGCTGCCCCATGAAGCCCTAGGACAGTAACGTGGTTCTTCCTGGGCAGCTGTCTTCTCGCATGTCCACAGATACCTATGGCAACTGTTTGCACTGAGATAGGAATTGTGTTTCAGGAACATGTGATTCAGCACTTGGGAATTCTCTTACTGGATTAATATCTCTGACTTAGGTAACCTGTTTTGAATGCTTCCGGTACCATAATTATTTGGAGCTTTCTCCTCTCAGTGCATTTTTGGATGAACTTAAATAGAGCTTGCTCTTCTTCTTTCACAGAGGAAGCATTTGTGATTTGTGTCTAAGCCCATAAAGTAGCATTCATGCTGCCAGAAATGCTACACAGAGGTGGTAGAGATGTGCATTTTCATTGAAGCTGATGATGACTCCCTTTCTTGGTCAGTTTTGCTTTTTATAGCTCATTGCTTATGAACTACTGCTGCTTGTGAAATTCAGGGCTGTGAGTCTCATATCTCCTTTTCCATTGCTCTATTTCTGTTTACCTGCCTACTTTTGTTCATGACATCAGCTGCTGCAGCTTCTGTGCTTCAGAAGAAATTGTTCATGTTTGAACTGGTTGCTTTGGTTATAGACAGTGTCTCTTAAGCCAAATCCCAAAAGATGTGAGAGCATCTTCTTTTCCCTCTCCTGTACCCCTTGCTGCTCATATGCAATATGAAAATAAGAGCATGAGCAAGGGAGAGGGGCCAGCACATTAAAATTCATGATTTTGATTGGAGATGGTTGCTTATTTTTGAGAAACTGTTTATTTTCCCTATATACCTTATCTTTTACTTCCAAAAAAGGTCAAATTTCAAGCTCTGGTCAAGTAACCATTATTTCACAGAAATACGTTGGCCATTTCCCTCTGATTCTTACTGAGCAGCTATTGTGTTACAAAAGACACACCTGGCAACTCAGGGGTTATTTTTTTCTGCAGTGCCAGCTGCCTTGGGAGTTGCTGAAGAACCCACACTGCATAAGCAAGGAAGATCAAAGCTGTTGGGTCATCTGCCAGACCAAGTCCTGCCTGTTGCCTGTCTGTGGATAACTTTAAGTAGATAAAGCTCAACAAACAGTTTCTTTCTTCTTCTCTTATTCTTTAGGTTACGTGCTGCTTTCTACTGGGCAACCCCTTCTTTCATGCTTCTTCCTCCCTTTGAAATTCTCTTACTGAAGGCCCAAAAGTCACAGTCTCCTTCCCATAAATTGCCTGGAGAGAAGAGCCCCTACCACCAAAACAGGGCATGTCTGACAAAGTCTCCTTGTGCGATGCTACCTTGTTTGGCTGCCTGCTGAGGACCCAAGGCAGCTCTTAGCCCTCAGGTAAGTAGCTGTGAGGTCACAATTGTCTTTGCTGTCAGTATAATTTATGTGTCAGAAAACCAGCCAGCTTCTGGAAGCTAATAGTGGTCTCTGAAAAAAAAGTAATGAGTTAAACGTTAGTTGGTCTCTTACCTGCAAATTGTGGATGTCAAATGTAAATCACTTTGCTACCCAGTAGTACTGGAAAAAAATAATTTAAAAATTATTAATCTTGGTGATTCTCCCAGCATTCATCCCTCCTATTATTTCTGTCTTTTTAACCATTTGTACAAATTTAACTGAGTTACATGTAAAGCTGATATTAAAGTCATATGAAGTAATATATGTACACTAAGGTAAGCATGTCAAATAAAAGTTTTGTGGAGTTATGTCTGATCCAACACAAAAATTACTTGAATAGAATTTTTACACTGATATTTCCAAATCACCATCAAGGTTATCAACCCATTTTCTGCTTTTCATACAAACTGCCCTGTTTTTAAGTGTTGGCCCAGCAGACAAAATCCCTCAGAAGGGAACGGTCAGGTTCATGTTTTGTTCAAATTCTCCAACTCCTGAACAACCAATAGTCACATTACAAGGCAGCAAGCAGCAGCAGCCAGGTGGCATAAGAAACCATCTCTCAGGTAAGCCTTGCTTCTGCCCTATGGTGCCCTCAGCTACAGCTTCTTCAATAAAACTCCATTCACAAATCCCTTGCAAATTAAAATTTTCCTTGTAATGATTACAGTTGGATTTTGAACTGCTTTTGTAATGTTCAAGAAGACACAATGCTAGTTTTGTGCCACCATCCCATCAACATTTTTAGCCTGTCTCTCTCTGTAGGAAAATAATGCTGATAAATGGAGAGAGATTAAAAGGATTTTATTTGGATTTATCATTCTTAATTTTCTGGACTTAAACCCACCCTTTGAAAGGCTTCCTTTGAGGAAGTTATCTGAATCCTTTAGTAGTTTAATAGGATTTGTCTAATATTACTGACCTTATCCCATCCTCAAGCTGGATTTCCACCAACAGTCTAAAGAGATTTCCCTGACACTATTGCAAATCCTCTCTGTAAACTTTTGTAGCTGAGAGGAGACTTGCTACCGCTGCTTTCCCTCCACATGAGCAAGCAATCTCTGTTGAAACCCTCTCCTAAGGAGAAGTGAGACAAGAGTGACTGTTTGGTTTGTCATTAAAATCATGTCATTAATTACTTTCAAATTTTCACATCTTCTGACTGCATTCCTCAGCCACCTGAAGCTGGTGAAGAACCCCTGCAATTGTGTAACATTAAAAAAATTGCCATGAGAGATGATTAGTAAAATTTGGCCTACTATCTTCGCCCTGTCTGTCCTGTAGTCCTGGGAAGCTACAAGCTGACTTTTTAGCAATGTGCAACAGCTGTCCCCATCCCTGAGGCACTTGCAGGGTTTTTTCTCTTTTCCAGCTATCGGTAATGCTTGAAAATGGCAAGTATATGCAATGTGGTGTTTCCCCTGGCTCTTGTGTCTCCTCCTGTATTTCCTGTATTGCAGGTGGAAGAACACATAGGTCTGTATTCTACACTGTCCTGTCTTTCAAACAATATTTTTTTTTCGGATAATCAATACCCATCTTGCTTTTCTAGAGCACAAAAAAGGTCATATTATGGCAGATGTGAATTTTCTAGTTGTGAAAATAATTATCAGAAAAAAAAAGTATTTCTCATGGAAAATATGTTAAGCATTCCTTAACATAAAATATGTTAAGTAATGCTCTCAATGAGCAAAATGCCTTTTTTTTTCCTTATGTGTAAAATCTGCATTGTGTATGTCCCCAAGAAAAGCTTGTTTGGTCCACTATTTGGTGGTTCTATACATCAGTAGGAGCTAAATCAACTCGGTTATTTTTTTGCAGCTAACATATTTAGCTTTTTAACTTGCCTGTGCAGAAGGTACCAACAGAGCAAGGGAAGGGGAGCTACCAGAGAAGTGTCAGTGAAGGAGTGCCAGTCATCAAGGATTGCAGCTGGAATTCCCCAGCAGCCTCAGCGGTTTCAGCACAACATCAGTGGGATGGCACAAACACAAACTTCAACCTCTTTTGCTATGATGGGAAATACAGTTCATACCCATTTAATTTCTTTTTATTCTATGGTTTCTCCAGGGTCTTTAGGGCTATACCTTGAGAAGGAACTTCATCCTGCTCATGAAGACAAAATCACTGTATTTGAGATAATTCTCCACTCTGGTTAAAAAGGAACCAAAAAAAAGGAGTATGATAAAATAATTATGTGTCACACCTCCATACCCCTTCCCCCCCATATCCACATTTCTTCACAAATGAGGAATTGACTGTGGCACCCACAGGGTAAGGCAGTTATTTCACAGATTACAGATTATCACTGTTGAATGCTCAGTGACTCCACCTGAGAATAAGTCGACTCTAGAGGCTGAGCTCTCTTACCTTCTCCAGTAACCAGATTACCAGCAACCGCAGTAACATAGAGATGTTCTGAAGCAGAGAAACGCGAGGAATTCTTACACGAAGGCGCTGTTTGTGCCTTGCCCACGAGCAGTCCTCAGTCACTAGATGGCACACTTAAACAACTCACCGCGCTCCTGACCCTGCTCCACAGGTGCTGCGGAGGAGCGGAGAGCTTTTCCCACGGGCGACAGGGACTCCTTTGACGCACAGTCTCGTTCTGTGTCTACCGTATTTTTATTGCAGTTTCCTGCCTTCACTGGTATGCTTACAATTTATTATTAGCACGCAATGCTCGATTTCTTTGCCTTTGGTTATAGTTAATAAATTAATCTTGCTGTCTTTAACTTTGGAGAATGTCTCGTTTCAGTTGCTTTGAGGAACGTCTGCAAACAGTGATACGATCCTGGTGGCCACTCCATCAGCGGTCGCACAGCTGGAAGATTAGGGGATCTGTGATTTATTTGGGGAGAAATAATGCATGGTGCATCCCCTCCCGGGTATTGATCTGAAAGAACAATTTTTACAGAATATTTGCATCCCTTCCATCATTTTACCTATGATCCCAAAAATATTTAGTAGGGTTTAATGTTCTATCACCAATACCAGTAGCATAAGCATTAAGAATCAACACTTGTTTACCTTCTAACCATCCCTGTAGAGGCAAAATGTAAATCAAACCAGGTGATGGGCAGAAATTTCAGTTCTTGTTCAGATCCTATTGTATTAGTCCTGCCAGGTGGGACTCCATGTCCTTTACTGTACAGTACACCTGTGTGTTGCAATAATCACAAATTCAGTGAGATTACTTTATCACCTTTTGCTCTGACCTTCAACTCTGACAACACAGGACAGTTAATTGCACATGGAGATGTCTATATACACGTGCAGTTCTTGCACCCTGCCCTCCACGTGAAGACATAGTGCTGGGACCTGGGGCTGGTTCCCCAGCTTGTGTTGAAGTCCATTGCCTGCCAGGCCCAAAGCAGACAACTCTTCAGGGATGCATTTTTACAGCTTGTCAGTCTGGGTGTGTATACAGTAACACTTTAAATTGGATTAGTGTGTGTGAAGCAAATCTCCTAATCGTGTTTCTAATGATGCCTTGGGCTGCCCAGGGGGCTGATTTCTGAGCACTCCAGTGGGATGTCTACTGTGGGAAGCCTAGAGCTAGTCCAAAATGTGAACAATGGAGATGCCAAGTCCTCAAAGCAAACACCTGCACTGTACAGACAGCCCTATGGTGCAACTATACTGGCCAAATGTAGGTGGAAATACTGTTCCTGATGTTTAACGTGAAATTTTCCCCAGACTTCATGTAGGAGCAGTCCTTGAATTTGTCCATCAGGGATCTCTGTATACTGTATGTTGTTTCCTTTAAATTAAGCTTTTCAAGAATTTTGCCATTGATTAGTGAGAATTAATAGTGCCTACTATGGGATATTTTTCTCTCCTCCTTTCTCCTTGCCCTTGTATGAAGAACCAGTCATGACTGTCCCAGGGATTTGTTGTTCTGCAGTGTTGATGGATGTGGTACCAGACACAGGAAAAATTCTATTTTATACAGAGAAGTAACATACCCCCCTGCCCTATCCCACAGTCTATGATGCCTATGGGTTGAAGCATTTCAAAGGCACACTGCAATTTCCCATCTAGGAGAATTCAGTCACACAGGGTAGCTGTTTTCAATCTTGCTGTTTTTCACTTTATCATTCTGATTTGAAACAGGATGTATAAAATCCAAGCTCAATGTCCCCTCTAGTCAGAGCCTATTCCTTCCTTCTTCTGGTTAAAGAAGCACTGTCTGAATTTGATGTCCTAGCTTAGTCTCTCTTTAAATATGGTTAGGGAGAGCCTGCTGATACCACTTACTCCTGGAAAAAAATTCTTCACATTACAGCAACACCTTCTGTTAGACAGCAATATCATCTAGTGATTAATATTATCCTCTCCATTTTAGTTGGTGGTATCTGGCAACTTCATGCCTTGAAGTCTGACTGTGTAGGAAGAAGAAATGACTGGGACAGAGGGAGAGAGCCAGGACTAGTGCTCACACCTGCAATCTCTTCTCAATGGGTCATTGTTTGTTGGGCACCTTGTACTATGCCAAAAGACCACAAGGGTTAAAACCACACAGCAACAACCACAGTTGTTTGTATCAACTAACACACACATGAGGCAGGTACAACTAACAGGCTACTCAGCTAAGTATTACTCAAGCGTTAACTATGACATAAGTACTTAAATACAGGCTACTTCAGCTATTGCTGGGTGGGCAGGCAGGCAGCTGTTGGTCAAGAGGGGAGTTTTCACTTCCATGCCTCTTTGGAGAGGGCCACGATCGCTCATCTGGCCACCGTGCTGTCTGCTGAGTCTCTGCCTTCTTTCTGAGGGTGTTGCAACTTCTGCCCTTCCTCAGTGTTTTCCAACTAACCATTACTGCCTCTACAATTTCACTTCTGCCTCTGAACTTACTTTAACATGGTTTACATTCTTTCTTGCATCATCTGGACAACAACTTTCTAAGTAAAACTCAGCCATGGCATTACAGCTGTGCCACCACAAAAACAAGCCTTGGGTCACCAGCAGCTGAACATCTGGGCTGGTGTTTAGCATTTGAAAATTAGCTACACATTCCCACCAGAACAAAGGTAAAGGCATAATATTGCTCTTAGTTGTGACACCTAAACTGGTGTCATAGTGATAATTAACACTAGGGGGGTTAAATTATGATTAAGGCAGGTTAGACTACTGGCTCTGGATATTTTGGTACCATCATGAACTTCAGGCTAGACAGCTTGTCATAACACCAGCAACAGAGTCCTTGAACTAACAATTGATTATATCACAAATAATCTATCAGATAAACACACTAGTTTTGATTTCTGAAAAAAATCTTATAGTGATAGAAGATGTCCCACAGGCTCAGACAGATTGTCCTGGGGGTTGCATTAACACATTAAGAGGGACCGAGTCCACCAGAATGCTTTCAGCAAGACTTGGTTTTGAAATAGGCTGTAAAAGATCTGGGCAACAAATTTTGTGGTGGAGTCTTTTGAGAAGAACAAAGAGAATATTAGAATCCAGTTTTTGAAAGTTCAGATAGACAGGAAGACCAGGCATTTTGAACAGCAGAGCAGAAAAGCCTCCAGGTATCAGATAAATTAAAGAAGCACTTACCTACGAGAAGCTGCACATGCAGAGATTGAAGAATGTGATCTTGGTGGAGCAGGTGGAAAAAAAAGTCTTTGATTTGCTGGTTAATCAGAATGTAATGCAGAGAAATCAATATAAGGATAATCTCATTTGCTATTTATTTCTGGCTTGGATATATGCATTTCATCAGTCATCTACTCTGGAGAGGAATGGTATGAATTTCAACACTTCTGCTATTTTTGCCTGCAAAATATTCAAAACTGTTTCTGCAGAAGCTATGGGCAGCAGTGGGGGACATTTATTTAAAGAAACTTGGAACAATGGATCACTAGTGATTAAAATAAAAATGGAAATTACATTCTGGATGCAGGAGGCAAATGAGTATTGCGTTTACAATACTCTGGCATTTAGAATGTATGAACCATTGCCGAGTAGTTCCATTTTGGAAATTTTGAAATCTGGTCGTCTTTTGAAAAATGCAGATTCAAGCTTCTCATTTTATGCTAATGTGAAGAGGTGAAGGAGAATAGCAGTTTGTTGAAACAAGTGAATTAACATGTGAATGGGGAGTATTGGACTTCTCCCTCTTGAAACAGCGGCTTTCAAAGTCGAAACTAGGATTTAAATCTCACACTGTGATTTTTCTCTTTTCATATCCCCAGATCATGTTACTTGTAGTGCATTAATAGGCTTTGAGCCTGTACCCCATCGACTAGAGGTGCTGTCATTTTTACTAATAGCCATAATCTACAAATCTAAGAATCGACGAAACAAGCTGTTTTCCCTCCCCCTCGCTAATTCTTCTTTTAGATCTCACTTTCAGTTTTCAGGACTGACTGTTATAAAACCTAGGAGACCAGCCTGGACTCCCTCCTTCCTCATCAAGTCCTTTGGTTTTTAGAGGAGCACACTGTCAGCTTTGCCAGTGAGGTTTGCCTTCAGTGCTGATGTACTCCTTGCAAATAAAACAAACTTGCAGCAGTGTACTGCTGAGTAAGCTAGACTGCAGTGACACAGGAAAATTAGTGCCTATAGAAAAAAAGAGACTTGGGGAGGTAGTCTCAGGAATTTTTCCAGCACAAATGTGTCTAAAATCTCACAGCTCAAACAACCTCACCCCATACTGTAACGTGTCAAGCCACCTTCTGCAGAGACAATGATATTTTTTGCTCATGTGAAGTAAAAACGTGGGAATCTCTGCTGTGAATGCAATCCCCCAGTAAAAGCAAATTTTTGCTTTCCAAGCTCCTTTCCTCCCTCTCCCCACTTCCATTCCCCCGAATTGGCCATGGTAACCTGGCCTGCGTTTCAAATACCTGCTTGTATTTGTGCGATGGTGCGCGCGTTTGCTTTCCTTCATTGCATTTTATTTGCCTTTGATTAATGATTAAAGCAAAACAAAACCATTGTAGCTGTTTTTAAATGCCTCCTTTAACAAAGAATGGAGCTTGCAGTAAGTCTGCTCTTATGGCATGACACCAGAGCTGGACCGCTCTGGGCTGTTCTCAAGCCAAGTCCTGCAAATACGACTTGATAGGATGTTCCCTGCCCTACCCAGCCTGCTTTTATCTGCAATTACATTCCTATGATTTTTAAAACAACATTGTATTTGACAATAGCATGGAGATTTTTCAGTTTTCTCATATTTGTTTGGGGTAATCACTGTAGTCTTCTGATGAAGTAACACTAGTCTGAGCTCCGTAGCAAGTGGATGTTCCCACTGCAATATCAGAGAGCAGTGGCTAAAATCCACTTCTGTTACACTACCAGCTGGAAAAGTAGCAGGAGGTGCAGTTATATTATGCTGCTTTGAAGGCTATAAAGCTCTTCTTTCTCCTGGCAATGCCAGTGTTTGCCTTTCTGACTAAATGACTGACTCTTTGATGCAATAACTGCTTTGCTCCATAGTGGAAATGTAAGTTGCTCAGTAAGTGTTTACAGTCATAAGATTAGGAAGGTTGTTTGGTTTTGTTTGTTTTTAAAATGGATGTATACTTGTCTTGATTGCCCTACTGGGCATTAAAAGTTTTCAAATCAGTTCAGTGAAAATCCTGATTGGCACAGGACCGGTGTTAGTGCTGCCTTATAATGAGATGTAGTGTCTTCTAAAAGGATTTATCACAAGACACCTGCAATCTTCTCAAGGAAAAGCAATTTAGGCAGTGGCTGGTGGAAGAGACCACACCATTTTTCAGTTGAAGTCACCCAACTGTCCTTTGAAAGCAGTAACTGGTGTCACTTTCCTAAATGTGCTTTACAGTTTGCTGATTTCAATAAACTCCCACCTGATGTCTGCATTGGAGAGACAGAGAGTTACTGCTATAGTTACAGTAGATGAGATCCTATAACATGGCTGAACAAATCTCACGCTGAATGCAGTGGCTCTACTATCCCTCTGGTTCCTTTGCAGCTCTGGAGAGGATCTGTAACTTTTCTTCATTTTTTTGATGAGGAGTGGGGAAGTGCAGATTAACTCCCTAAGCTGGCACAGCCTGAGGTTGGATTTGTGCTCTCAGCAGGGCAAGGAGACACCTGGGAAATGGAGGAGTGGAGGTTGGATATCCTCTCACTGCAGTTGAAGTGCTAGTGGCAAGGTGTGAGCCTGATACAGCCACCAGCTGTACTTTTTGCTTGTTGGACCTGAGGTTCAAAATTAGGTGGCATTGCAAAGTCCAGCCATTGCAGACAGCACACCATGACAACTCAGAACTGGCTTATCTAGAGACAATAACTGCCGGCTGCTCTTTGATTCTTAATCCTGAGCGTTAGCAAGACAGCCGAGCGACTTTTGGCTGGGGCTAGGTTGCATATTCTTCCTCAGAGCTGTCTCAGCTTCCTACCTTCCTTCAAATTGTTTACTAAGAAATGTCTTCAGCTGTTTTTATATATCATGAATACCATTTTTTGGAGCAACTTTTGATTAGTTCAGTGTGGGAAGGCAAATACTGTGCTGTATTGAGCCAAACATTTTAAGTGCACTATTCTCCCACATACCCCAAGCACACAGGCTTATACAGGTGTGCCTGACATTTGTCTTTGTCTCTATGTGAACCATACATCAAATCATAAAGACTGAGTGGAATGTCTATATTTTAACAAAAGAAAAAAAGCCTCTGTGATATCAATACATATGGCTGGTGTACTGGGGTTGTGTGGCAAGGTTTTGGTTTTGGTAGTGGCAGGGGGGTAACAGGGGGGACTTCTATGAGAAGCTGCTGGAAGCTTCCCCCATGTCCAACAGAGCCAATGCCAGCTGGCTCCAGGACGGACCTGCCGCTGGCCAAGGTGAGCCCAGCAGTGATGGTGGTGGTGCTGCTGTGGTAACATATTAAAGAACAAGGGCAAAAAATGGAGTGGAAACAGCAGCAATTTGCGGCCGGAGGAAGGATTGAGAATATGTGAGAGAAACAGCACTGCAGACACCAAGGTCAGTGAAGGAAGGAGGTGCTCCAGTCACTGGTGCAGGGGTTCCTCTGCAAGACCACAGTGAAGACCATGGTGAGGTAACTGTGCCCCTGCAGCGCATGGAGCTCCATGATGGAGCAGATATCCACCCGCAGCCCCTGGAGGACCCCATGCCAGAGCAGGTGGATGCTCAAAGGGGACTGTGACCCCATTGGAAGCCAGTGCTGGAGCAGGCTCATGGCAGGACCTGTGGACCTGTGGAGAGAGGAGCCCACACTGGAGCAGATTTGTTGGCAGGACTTGTAACCCCATGGGGAATTCAGGCTGGAGCAGCCTGTTCTTGAAGGACTGCATCCCAAGGGCCCCATGGAAGGGACCCAAGCTAGAGCATTTTGTGAGGAACTGGAGTCCGTGGGAAAGACTCATGTTGGAGAAATTCATGGACAAGTGTCTCCTGTGGGAGAGACCCCAGGTTGGAGCATGGGAGGAGTGTGAGGAGGAAGGAGTGGCAGAAACAACATGGGACGAACTAACCACAGTCCCTATTCCCCATCCCCCTGCATGCTGGGGAGGAGGAAGTAGAGGATTTGGGAGTAAAGATGATATTGGGAAGAAGGGAGAGGTGGGAGAAAGAGGTTTTTAAGATTTGGTTTTATTTCTCATTACCCTACTCTGATTTGATTGGTAATAAATTCAGTTAATTAATAAATTCAGGTAATTTCCCCAAATCTGTTTTGACCATGTGTACAAGTTTCGAGCTGGCTTCCCGCCAAGTCCCCCGAAACTCGACAACAAGGACCCGCCTCCCAGAGAGGGAAAAGAAAAAAAAACCAAGCAGCCAAAGCTATAGCAAATATATATATATATATATATATATATATTACACATATGAGACAGATACACAAAAGGAGAATACCACACACCGGGGGGGGGGGGGGGGGGAAGGGAGAAGGACAAAAAGGGGCAAGGACCGAACAAGTCAAACAACCAGCCGAAGGCAAACTAGCAAAAATCTCACCACTTCCCTTCGAACAGGCAGGATGGCTAACACGGCCCAGTGCTCTCCCCTCACACATGGCAGATAACAGCAGTCACTGTAGGCCTCAGCTCCAGATAAGCCCGACCGAGACAGGGACCCACCGTTCTCGAACCTCGCCGGAGAGGAAGAGAGAGCGATTCCCTCCCACTGGCTTTATTTATACCTCAAGTTATGTAAAGGAATAGCATGGAATACTTCCGTGATCACTTTTCTAGTTCCTTCCTGGTTACAAGTTGGTCTCCAGGAAGGCCTAGAGTGAAACCACCACACCATGACAGTA